TTTTGAAAGAACGACATGTTAATTTAGCAAATAAAAGAAGCATCTGGTTTCCTTCAATGTACTCTACATCTCCTGTGAGGTAAAACATAGAAGAGATGACGCAAGTAAGCTTGAGATGAGTTCAGGTTTATAAACCACAAAGAAAATAACTTTACACGGTTTTAAAATGTTCTTTTTAAAATGTGTATAGGCCTACCGTTTTAATGTACCTTGTCTGATTTAAGTGTTTGTGAGTATGAAGGTGTGTCTTCTCTTTGCTCTCAGCCAGGGCCGGTTATAGCCAATTTGATGTCCTAGGCAAGATTTTAGCTGGCTCTCCAGTTTTAAACGATATTTTTGTTTTACTGTCCTATAGTATACATTGAAATGCTTTCAAACCTGTTTTCCCAATAATTATAAAGGAGTGCCTTGGAAATATTTGTTTATTAAAATTGTGATCAAAACTTTTGAGACCCACTGAGATAACTTAGACTAAAGTTAACTATCTAAACACTCAGAGTATTTTACCTCACTGAGCCTCTCAGCCTCCACCCTTGTTAGAAACATCTTCTTCTTCTATCCGTTAGAGCAGCTAGCACCAGATGCTAATAACAACAGCGCCGGTACCGGTGCACCCTCTCTCTCTCTCCCTCTCTCCCTCCCACGCTCACTCACACTTTGGCTGTGAGCTGCGGGCACCTGATAAGCCAACATCCCCCCCAGATTTGGCGCCCTAGGCGACCGCCTATGCCAAAAACCGGCCCAGCTCTCAGTGAGTCAGTAATAGTTTGTAAACAGTGGGTAACTGTAACTAAGTATATTTACTTAGTACTGTTCTTAAGTACAATTTTGAGATACTTTCTTGTACTGTACTTGAGTATTTCCATTTGACGTTACTTTGTACTTCTAATCCACTACAATTCAAAGGTAAATCATGTACTTTTACTCCACTGCATTTATTTAAATCAGGAGAGACTTCAAGTTTGTTTAGTGAGATAACTTTCAATATGTATTGCTGTGGTAAAATAAATACTGGTGGTGGTGAAGAGCTGAAGGGAATAATGAAGAGTTGGAGTGATGAGAGTTCTTCTGGGCTTGGCCTGGGCCTGGATCTGATGAACTGGAGGTGAACGGGGTGGAGGAGGAGGGCTGCATCGATTCTCCTTAAATGACAGCTGACAGGGGAGAAGAGAGCAGATTTGAAAAGGTGCCAGATGCGCTGTGATTGGTTTGTGGGAGATGAGACGAGTCTGATTGGCTTAGTTGGGGGTGGTATATTGTTGTGGGAATGGAAAGATAAATGAAAGAAGGCGGATATATCCATTTAACATACAGTATCTATGTTTATTATAACATTTTTCTGCATGTCAAAATGAAAGACAGCACACACACCTATCAATCATCAAACCGTGGGGTCTTAATTCATTACGTGTTGATTTCTATCAACACGTAATGAGGGGGGGGGGGGGGGGGGGTGGTAGAGCAGGTAGAGTACTTCGTGACCACATAGTGTGAACGTTGTGATCAGCTGTTTTAGCGCAGTTCTCCAGTGAAGGGGGGGGGAGTCTCCCTCCGCAGCCGGTTGGCGTAGTTTTGGCACAATTCCGTTGTACAGACCGACGTTAACAGCAGCCCTGTCTGTGCACACGGAGACCGACTCTGTCGTCCGGTGATCTAACCGCCTTCTGGAAAAGCTTCACAAGTACGTCGGTACGCAAATGCGCTTTGTGACACAAGTGACGGTACGCATTTCAGATTACGCACATAACCTGCGTACCAGTTATGTGCACCCCTGGTTTGTGTTCCGATAATCCAAAAATCAGCTCCTAAATTCTAACCCTATCTCCTATTCCTTGACCTCTGAGTGAAACGTCACGGGGTTAAGGGATAGTGGATAGGAGAATTCAAAAGGACTTAGGAGAAGAGACTGCGGTACTTTAGAGAATCCGAATGCACTATCACTATCCGACGTGTTTATGATGCGCCAGCGGTCGTCATTGTGTGCGTCTGCTGCTGTGGGGAAACTATGGAAACTACAGTTTTCTATACAGCGGACTACAACATGGATGTTTAATAAGAAGGAGGGACTACTGTAAACTCATCTAGAGACTCTGCACCGTGCTCTGATGCTGTTGCTTTATGAACGTGGACAACAGAGAAACATATTCTTCATGACCAAAGCTGGAATTTAAATAAAAAAGGAAAGTGAAACTTATGCTCGTCACCCTCTACCTCCGGTCCACATTAATACAAATGATCCCAATACGTATGATTGTATGAAAATATCTTAAAATCAATACAAATGTATTTATTATAAACGTTAGTCCTTAACATCTATCACTGTGTATATCACCATTCAAACAGCTTTTAAAAGTTGAACAAACCCCACACAGCTCAGTAAAGACTGTGAGATGTTGACTTTATTTGATCATTTCAGTAAAAACTAACATTCATATTTCTCTTTTTGATTATAATACTGATGAACGTTCAGAAAAAAGCACTTTGGCAATTTACCACATAC